GCACACAAGATTTTAGCCTATAATTTTTGACGTGAAAGCCCTCTGTTGAGCCCAAGCCTGCCCTGTTCCAGGCCTGTGTCTGGCTCCGAGCCCAGGGAGGCCAGGCTCGTCTGCGGAGTGACTGGATTGCACGGATGCCGTGGACCAGGAGCTTCTCACCCCTCAGGTGGCTCTGGAACCTGAGGGCAGGGTCTCTTTACCCAGGGTCCTGCCAGGGCAGGCGTCCGGGCTGCCTCCTGGGGTTGGGACAGGAGCAGATGTGCGTGTGGGGTCAGAGTGGGCTTGGCCAGCTCTTCTCAACTCGGCCCCTCTGGCCCATGAAGAGTTTCACATGTCATGTCATCACTTCTTCGTGGGTGGAGAGCATGCCCCGTGGAGGAGTGTCAGACCCTCAGGGACGGGGTCAGGAGGGTGCACCCGGGCTTGGAAAAGCCCAGCCTCTGGTTTTGGTCCATGCCTGTGTGTGGCCTGGATTCAACTCCCACCTCTAGGACATGAAGTGCACTATTCTTCATTCATTTCATTAAATAGATCAGCCGTTTTCTTCAGTTACAAAACATAGTAGATGCTCAATTAAGAACATTCAGAAAAAAATTAAAACCAAAAAAGAAGATAAAATTACCTTATCCCAGCCCCCCAGAGGCAGCTGTATATTTCCTTCAAGACTTTTTTTGAAATAGATTTATCTTCTTTTCATAATTGGGACCATATGTTTGTATGGCTTTTCCTTCCGTGTTTTATAAATTAACAGCATAAGTATTTCTCAAAACTTTTAATGGTTTAATAGCTCTACACCATCACTTGGAGATCCTTTAATAGATTTAATCATTTTTCTGTTGTTGAAAACTTGATTGCTTCTATTTTTTTGCAACAATGAATAATTGTACATTAATCTTTGCTCACAGCTCTGTTACCTTTGGAGAGGCCCTCTGGTGGGGTTCCCGGGTCTAAGGAGACACACATGTCAAGGTCTGGGACATGCCTTATGGGGTCTCAGGGCACCTGCCCCCTTCAGCGTGTGAGGGCAGAGGGGGTTGGAGCGACTTCAGCCGAGCCGGGAGGATCGGTGCAGACCAGCGACAGTTCTCCAGCCCCAGCCTGCTTCAGGCCGGGCTGTCTTCCCAGCAGAGGTCACTCGCTATGGCCCCAAGACTTCCGCATCACTTTCCCGTAGGTCCGGCACGAGAACAGGTGTGTGGCCCTGGAAAGGTGTCCCTGCTTCCACCAGGGCAGAGAATATGCCCCCGGAGAGACGCTGAAGATTGACTGCAACACTTGGTGAGGCCGGGAGGAGTTCTGGGGACACGGAGACGCAGACTGAGACAGCGAGGGTTGGCTTTGGCACTTGACTGTGGCCATTCCGTTCCTTTTCTCTGTGCCTCTGTTTCTCCATCTGTACAATGGGACAATCTTTATCATTCTGTGTTCTCACCCTGCACGGACACTCTCTGGAATGTTTCTGTGCCGGGAGACGGGCCTGGGGAGGATAACACTGCACTTGTGCCCAAGCTGCCCAAGGGCGTGGAGTCCGGGGGACCTTCTCTGGCCTTGTACCCCGCACCAGGCATATTGTGGTGCTTAGAAAGGACCATGCAAGGTGGCTGGTCCCCCCTCACTCCTCCATGGCCCCCCTTCACACAGCCCCTTGCTCTGCTGGCTCACCCTGCCTTTGACTTTGGGGCCATGAACAGCTTTAGGGAAGGGCCACGTGGACAGAGGCAGGAAGGGGCTTCCTGTCTCTGGCCTGAGGTCTGAGCTCTCCACTGCTGTTGTCCAGAGTGGCCCCCTGATGTCAGCTCTGGTTACGGGGTGGCGGGCTGGGGAGCTGGGGCAGCCAGCGAATCACCATGATTTAAACTCAGTTACACACACCCGTGCCCCTCCTGCCGGAAGTTCATGGCTGGTCACTGTTTCCCCACTCAGAACTTTCCTGCCCTTTCTGTCTCGATTGTCCCATTAGTCTCAGAGGGGCTTTGGGCCCTCAGTGGCCACTCCCAGGTGACGTCCGGGGAGGCGGGGCTTTAGCACATCTGGAACAGGTGGTGACAGAGTGACTGGGCCTCTTCCTCCATCTGCCTGGGTCACCTCGGACAACCAGGGCCCGTCTTTGGCCCGGTTTCCCCATGTGGCGGGAGGGCAGGGTCCACGAACCACAGACCCCCCTTCCCGAGGCCTCCTGGAGGGTGGGTGGCCCTGGCTCTTCCGATGCCCAGACCTGCCCCTACCCAAGGCACCCGGCCACCATCCCCTGCATCCTCTTCCCAGTGTCTGTCGGGACCGGAAGTGGAACTGCTCGGACCACATGTGTGACGCCTCGTGCTCGGCCCTGGGCCTGGCTCACTACCTCACCTTCGATGGGCTCAAGTACCTGTTCCCCGGGGAGTGCCAGTATGTCCTGGTGCAGGTGAGGCCCGGGGGACGGGGGGCGGCAGCTGGGGGTTTTCCAGGCCAGGTCCTGCTGCTCTGTCTGCACAGACGGCCCTGGGGGCTGGTTTCCACGGGAGTGATTTTCCAGGCCCCAAAAGACATGCCCGGAGGAGCAGGAGTTCGGAACTCGAGCTCACCTGGGCACTCAGGGGACCGGGACAGAAGCTCGTGTGCTGACTGGGGTTGGTGTGGGGCCAGGCTCCCATCGGCCCCAGTCCCACCGCAGTTGGGGAGAGCGACTTCCTTTCCTTCTGGCAGACGCAGCCTCAGTCCGGAGGCACAGTGGGGAGCCCCAGCTGGTGAGAGAGGGCCCTCCCACCTCCCTCTCCCGCCGCGGGGAGTCCTGGGAGCGTCTCTTGCTGGTTGACACGCTGTGGGTGAGCAGGGACCGCTGAGTGCTTTTCCCACGAGGATGAGACGGCTGGACTCCGTGCAGCTTAAACAAATGTGGTCTCTCTGTCTCTGTTCCTGGCGGAAGGACAGGAGGGATGTGGTGCGGCCCGGAGGGAGGACCGCGGATCCGCAGGAGCCTCAGCCCCAGAGTCAGGCAGCAAAGGGGACCGAGCATGACGCCTGCCCAGGGTGCAGGGAGCAAGCCCCTGGCCCCCGCCCCTGCCCCGGCTGGCCCCAGAGAGGCGGGCAGGGTGCTGGGGAGGCGAGCACACACACCATGAAATGGTTTCACCCACACCCAAGAACCCGCGGTGCACCCCCGTCTAGGGCTTTCCTACGGATCACATGTGGAAGCCTGTCTTTCTGTTATCTGTCTGCCTTCCAGTCCTGGTAGCAAAAGATGGGTGACGCCAGCTCTGGGGCTCCATTCCCCAGCCAGGTTCAAATCTGGGAACCCAGAAAACAGGACAGTTCAGTGCAATGAGGAACGGCCGGTAGGACCTCCCACCCCAGCGGTTCCTGCCTGGGCACAGCTGCCCAGGGGGCCAGTTTAGAGCCCCCGCCAAGTCATGCCCCTTGTGGGCGGCCAGTGTTCTGCCCCTTGGCCTGTGCTGCTGTCCCCTCCTGGTGCTTTGTCCTGGGTCCCCTCCCTCTCCTCCTTCCTTCTCTGGGGGCTGTCACCAGGACTTAGCTCTTTCCCCTTCAGAAAAATCTCAGCTGATGACAAAGCACCTGTACCTTTGCTCCGTCTGTAACCTAACAGCCCCATTAACCCAACCAAACCCCTTTAACCTGACAGTCCCGTTAGGTCGGCTGATGCCGTGTGACAGAGGGGCACGTCGTCTGTGGTATGCAGGTGTGAGTGCGTTACCCCAAAAGCGGAAGGGAGAGGACCCCAGTTCTTGTCTTACCCGAAAGATAAGAATTCGGATGGGAGACGCAGTGTTGTGCAGCGAGATTTTGAAGGATTTATTGGCAAAGAGAAAGTACACCTCCAGGCACGGGGGGCGGGCAGATCGAGGGAGGAGGAGCCACGGCTCTTTCTCTCCCCTCCTCGGACTCCCGCGCTTAGGGGTGGTCCTTGGACTGACTGACAGCTCTTAGCCCGGGAGGGCTCAGTCATGTCCGTTCCCTTTGCACGCGTCCCTTCCCATGATGCACACGGAGAAACCTACGGGAGGGCCCCAAGCCGTGACGGTGGTTGTATTACGCTGAGCCTTGGGTTGTGTCCAGTGAGGGCCTTCTCGCTACCGCGCACTCTTGGCTCCGCGGTTCTAGCTGGTTTCTTGCTGGGGGAAAGTAAAGCCCCTTTACGCTGGAGGCGGGCACACCGCCATCTCCCGGACCCTCCTCCCTCCCCTCCGTCTGTCTGCCCGGTGCCCCCACTTCTCTACCTAAGGAGCGTGTGTGTGTGTGTGTGTGTGTGAACGTGTGT